AGGTGGGGGTGATGCCCGCATTGTGGGTCAGGTGGGTTGACAGTCCAGCATGGTGGATGAGTGAAGTGGGGTGACGCCTGCATTGTAGGTCAGGTGGGGGTGACACCTGCATTATGGGTGAACTGGGATTGATGCCCGCATTGTGGGTGAGGTGGGGTGACAGCCCAGCACAATGGATGACTGAAGTGGGGTGACGACCTCGCATTGTGGGTGAGGCGGTGTGGAGGGAAGAATCAACTCCACTCACCCCGTCGTGGACCAGGGCCTTCCAGGTGTGCTCCAGCTTCTTGATAAACCTGTGGAAGACAAAACCAGGGTCCTCAGTGTCCTCGGGGACCCCACGGGGTGTTCCAGCAGAACTGGAGACTGGCAGTGCCCAGGACCCCACAGGGAATGGCAGGCAGCATCAGCTGAGGGAGACCCCGCTGGGCTGGCACCCAGCTCCTCCTGAATTCAGTGTCACCCACTGTCCCCTCTAGGGCTTCTCAGGACGGAAGTGGGGGCACCTCCCGGAGGTGAAGAGGTGTGAAGTAGAAAGTTCACTGCCGAGGGACTGCTTCCGGTGGGCAGTGTGGCTGTGCGGGTGGGAAGCCAGGCCAGGACTGAGGTCAAGTCGGGGGCTGGGGGGGCCAAGCACCCACCTATAGGACTGCAGGATGTCGATGATGCCAATATGCAGCAGAAGGCGCTCCCCGCGGCCGTTCACGGCAGGAATCCCACCCATCCTGCAGGGAGGGCCAATGGGCAGTCAGCACGGGGTCGGGGCTGCCACAACCCAGCACCCAGGATGGGAAGACTCGGCACCCGGGAGGGAGGACTGAGCACCCAGGACATGAGACCCAAAACCTGGGACCCAGCATTCCGAACATGAGCCCCGGCACCTGAGACAAGAGACCTAGTGCCCAGAACGGGGGACCCAGCACCCGGGACGGGGGACCCAGCACCCGGGACAGAGGACCCAGCACCCGGAATGGTGAACCAAGCATGGCGGACCCAGCACCTAGGGAGACCTAGCACCAAGAATGGGGACCCTGCACCCATGACGGAGACTCAACACCCATGACAAGAACCCAGCACTCAAGATGGGAGACCCAGCACTAAGGATTTGGGGACCCAGCACCCGGGACAGGGTCCCAGCACTTGGGATGGGGGACCTAGCACTCAAGATGGGAGACCCAGCACCCAGGACAAGGACCCAGCACTCAGGATGGGAGACCCAGAACTAGGGATGGGGGACCCAGAATCCAGGATGGGAAACCCAGCACCGGGACAGGGACCCAGCACTCGGGATGGGGGACCCAGCACCTGGGACAGGGACCCAGCACCCGGGACAGGGACCCAGAACTAGGGATGGGGCACCCAGCACCCAGGACAGGGACCCAGCACTTGGGATGGGGCACCCAGAACTAGGGATGGGGGACCCAGCACCTGGGACAAGGACCCAACACTCGGGATGGGGGACTGGGAGGGAGGGGGCAGGAGCAGCAGGTCCTGGGAGCAGCAGGTCCTGCACCCATGACCGTAGGAGCTGGGGCCTGATCAGCCTGCCAGTCACACAGGTCCGGAGCGGACACCCTACTGCTGCCCAGGGTCTAACTGTACACACCGCACTCGTGTGCATGACACACGGGCACACTCACACTCACACAAGCCCACAGCAGATGCACAGACGTGCACACGGCCACACACGAGAGCGCGTGCAGATGAACAGATATGTACACACGCTGTGCACAGAAGTGCGTGCACACACATGAGAGACGGGTGCACTCTCCACGCACACACAGGCAGGCACACAAGTCGGCCTCACACACACACACACACACACACACACACACACACGGGTGCTCACACGTGCTTTAAACCCAGACATGCCCTCACATGCTTGTATGAGCACAGGCTCATGCATGCAGAAAACATGGAGGCCCACATATGCACATGCACACACACATGCACACATACACATGCACACGCTCTGCAGAGGGGCACACACATATGGGCAGGTGGATGTACAGGGATCTGGACACCTGCAGTCAGTACACACGCATGTGCACATGGGCTCGTGGCACACACACATGGACACACGTGCACTAGGAACACATACACGCACGCTCGCATTTCCTGAGGTGCATGCGACCATCTCTCCCCCCACACACACACGCACACACTCTGGATGGACAGTCAGGGCGCCGCCGTCACTGTCACTCAGTCACGTTTGCACACTCCTGCAGGCGAGCGAGCGGTCACACAGCGGCTGCACACACTCACTCCATGCCTCACTCACCTGCACCCCCAACCCCGCCTCGCCGGGCCCCACGCAGACCCTACAAATGCCGGGAGGTCTGAGGGCTGCCACTGTCCAGCCCACACCGCAGGGATTCCAGGCTGTGGCTGTGCTCCTTTGTCCACCCAGGCCACTACCCCAGCGACCCAGCCTCTCGAAGCCTTCACCTCCTGGCCTATACACGGGGACACCCTCCTCCACCAGGACCCCATAAGAACAATGTGAAAAGGACGGCTTCTGGCTGGTTCCGGCTCGCAGAGCCCAGCAGCTGGGCCTCCACCACAAGGACAGACTGCACCCCGTCCCCCCAGTGAGCCTGTCCTGTTACAGACAGACGGGCCACTGTCCCCTGGACACTGGGCCAAGCCTGGCGGCATAAGGCAGTGTCAGACGGGCGCAGTGAGCTTCAAGTCGGGGAAACCAGGGATGGCACTCAACACCCCACACCCCTTACCCCGCGACCCCCAACCTCAGCAAACGTGCCGGCTGCAGACGTCAGCAGTGCTGAGATGAGGGGACCCTGGGTCAGTCACTTAACCCGCTGGGCCCCTGCGGATGCCATCCTCCAGCATAAACCTGCCGCCTCCTCACGGCCCCACCCTCCCACTGGACAGCCCCACCTGGTGCATTTTCCTCCTAACGTCTAGAACGTGTGTTCACTGCCGGCCCCGACTGTGGAAAAGGGGTGCTTTCTCAACACTGAGTGTCCACTGGTGTGGGGCAGGTCATGAGCCCCGCGTGGACAGAGCACAGCTCTCGTGGAAAGGCCCCCTGCTGGGTCTCGAACCCCAGCTGGACTGGGAGAGGCCGCCCGCTGGCAGTGAGCGCCCCGGGGCTCCCGGACCTACGTGTCGTCCGTCTCGATGGCCTCGCCGCGCGTGGCCCCGCCCTGGATGGACTCCATGGCCGTGGAGTAGAGCGCCTTCTGGCCCACGGGCCGCTTCTCGTCGGCCGTGCTCTGCGTGCCCTCGGCCTGGCGCTCGCGCTCCTGCTGGTCGATGTTGTGCACGCCCAGCAGCAGGCTGTAGTCCATGATCTTGAAGCTCTCCAGCACCTGGGCAGGGCCGGAGGGTCAGGGTCAGGGTCAGGGGCGTGAGCACACAGGCGCGCGCATGTGCTGCCCCCACGGCCCGCTGCTGGGTCTGAGCTGACTCCCTCCCGCCGCCCGTGTCCCCAGGAGCCCAAGGAGACGGCCGTCTGGCAGAGGCGGAGGCCGAGGGGCAGAGCGGGTGGCTGGCAGGCAGCCGGCGAGGGGTCCCCTGGGGTCCCGCACCCCTCACCAGGCAGTCCCGCTGCAGCGTCTTGACCAGCGCGGTGAAGGTGTCGGCGTCGAGCATGAGGCCCTCGGGCATGTCCTGGATGAAGTCCAGGTCCTTGTAGGTGGGGATACTCTTCTCCTTCTCCTTCTTGCTGGCCCGCCGCTTGTACGTGGAGCCCTTGAGGTCGAACTTGAGGTGCATCTTGACCACTCGCGGCAGGATGTTGTTCATGACCACCACACGGATGTTCTTGCCCCCCGACTGCACGCAGTACAGCCCGTAGAACTTGGGGAGCAGTGTCCGTGGGTTCTGGTTGAGGTTCTGGGTGGGAGAGAGTGAGTCAGGAGGACGGGGACCACACTGTGACCTCAAGTTGGCCCCACAAACGCCAGCTCCTGGGGAGCCCCAGGGCCCAGCTGACTCCTGTCTCAGTGGACAGAGGCCCCCTCGGCCCTGTCCACTTGGTCTCGGGTGCTGACCCCACGGGAAGCTTCCATGACCCAACACTGCCCTCTCACAGCACCCCAGGTTCACATAACTGAGTGGTTTACAGTCTGGGTCTCCCCAGTGGGGGTCCACTCTACACAGCAGGGTCCCAGGTGCTGAGCTGGGGACACACACACCACCCCGTCTCTATGACACTGCAGAAGACCACAGCCCTATTCGAGTATGACCCACAGGGGGCAGGAGTGGGCAGCACTGAAGGGTGGCCTCGAGAAGACAGGCTTTGAGAGGGACCAGCCCCGTGTCCCCCGCACCTGAGTAACACAAGCCACCTCCCAGGGCTCAGACAGAACCAGGGAGGGTGTAGTGGGGCCAACGGGGGGGCTGACCCTATAAGAAGGTGGTGGCCGCTGCACCCTCCTGCAGGGAGAGGGGACCCCAACAGCAAATCTCCAATGACCAAGAGGGAGTTCTGGTGGCCTTCCTGGTGAGAAGCTGAGCTGCAATCCCAAAGGCACAGTTTGCATCCACCAGCTGCTCTGTGGGAGAAGGGTGGGCCGTCTCCTCCCGTGTGATTTACTGCCTTAAAAAACCTGCTGGAGGGTCAGCTGTGACCAGTTCCGGCTCCACGGCCCAGGACAACATGGCCCAGAGGGCCTCTCGCCGGCCTACGATGTTGGGAAGGGTGGTGGCGTGGTCCCTGACGGGGGGCAGGGGCGGGCAGTGCAGCTGCTGTGTGGAGAGGCCCTGCCGTCTGGGGTGGAGATGGGGGAAGCCCGGTGGAACCTTCTGGCAGGAAGCGGGCTCTCACGCACCATGTAGTAGCCGGGCAGCAGCTTCTGCAGGAACTCGGCCTCCTTGTGCATGACCGTCTTGATGATGAACTCGTCGTCGCTGGTGACGTAGAAGAGGGAGCCGCTGGCGCCGGGGTTGGACAGCTCGATGAGGGGCTCGTTGCACAGGGAGTACTGGGGGGAGGGGAGCGTAACGTGAGCGGCTTGTGGAGAGGGGCGAGCGCGAGGTCCACCCCCGTGTGGCCAGGACAGGCAGCCTCGGGCTGAGCTACCAGCTCCACGTCGCAGACGGAGAAACCGAGGCTCAGAGAAGGGGCATGATTTGCCCACGGCCCCGCAGCCGGGATTCTGCCCCCGGCGGGGCCCACGGCTCCCAGCAGCTTCCCTCCTGCTGGTAACAGACATGCAGCTGCTGCGTTTCCCACATTCCCTTGAGCCCAGGTGTGGCCCGAGGGTCGACCTGGTTCCTAAGCACAGGCTGTGGGTGGGCCTCAGAGGAAGGCAGCTTAAAACGGCTGCAGAAAGCTGGGCACTTCTCGTGCGCCCTTCTCGCTGCCTCACGCATTTCCTGTCTGGAACCCGGATATGATGACCGGAGCCCCAGTCACCATGCTGGACCATGAGGCAACCTTGAAGGACAGAAGCCACACAGCAAGGATGGCAACGCAGAGAGACAAAGCAGGCCGGCCTCTGCGGGCAGGGCCCCCACCAGCACGGTGCCCTTCATCCCGTGCGCCCCCCCCCCCCGCCTCCTCTGCCCACGGACTCTCAAGTCCATCTGCTTGTGTGTTTCTCTCTGTGGCCGGCTCCTCCCCCCACTGGCAGCACACAGCAGGTGCTCAGGGTACGTTCCTGAGATACGTGCATGAAAGGGGTTCTGCCAGCAGCCGCTCCTGAGGCCACAGCCACGTGGGTTGGGAATCTGAGGCATGCACCCCAAATTCTGAGCACTTGGTACACGTCAGGAGCTCAGAGGCTGCCCTCCATGGTGCAGGGGCACCAGGTGGCTCTCACAGGCTGTCCCTGTCCTCTGTGGAGGTCAGGTGTGCCAGGTACTGGCTCGCAAGATTGTCTGGTCTGTCTCCAGTGAGGCCAGGAGTGGCAGACAGCGAAGGCAGAGTGTCCCTTCTGGAAACAGCTTCAAGAGTGGCCAGTACCCCATGGGGCCTCCCACTCCCCGTCACAGGGACCCCATAAGCCTGGCAGTGGGGCAGGGTGGGGCAAGTCCTGCAGGGGCAGTGGCTGTGAAACGCCAGAAATCACCACAAAAGCCACACTCGTGCAAACAGGCTGGCTCTGGGCGTTCTGAGCCAATAGGACACAACAGGGTTGCCGGGCGCCAGCCTCCACCCCCTGCTCCAATGGCACCGGGTATGCAGGCAAGCTTGGGGGGGTTGAGCACCCCAGAGCACATGCCCAGCTGGATGACCAAGCAGTGTGGTCAGGAGGCTCTGGCAGGTGGCAGAGAGACGCCACCGTGCCGGACCTTCCGTGACCCAGTGGAACTCACTGTCCGCAGTGAAAGCAGATGGCAGTGTGTGGGCAGCCCCCACTGAGTGGGACCAAGAGCACATGCACTGACGGGGTGGGCAGGGCGGGTGGGCCAAGGCCTGACTGTCCCCTGACCGTCCCCTGACTATTCCCAGGGTCCAGAAGCACCAGCCTGAAGGGGGAGCGGCTGAGGTCATCCCTGACAAGACCCCTTGCCCGGCCACACTGGAGGGGGAGCCTGGCAGCTCCAGCCACGTGCCATGCCCGGTCGCACTGGCTGGAGACCAGGAGGGGCTGCTGAGGGCGGGCACCCTGAGAAAGATGGAAGGATGGTACAGCATGGAGTGTACCCAACACATGCCAGCCCCAGGGAGGACTCCTGCCAGGGAGGGGCACGGCTGAGCTGGAGGCACCATGGAGCCTGGCCATCTGTCCATCTCCTCTCTGCCCACAGTCACGTGCCACAAACAGCCACATACAGGTCAGGGACATCCAGCGCCGGCTCCGTGCCCCACATGCACAATGATGCAGCAGTACTGGGTGGGGGGCTGCCCTCGCGGGGCACAAAGGGCTCTGGGCCCTCCAGACAGGTGCCCAGCCTCAGAGCACCCACCCTGTTCTCAGGTGGGAACAGTCACCTTGAACAGCCAGAATGTCCTCTGTCAGTACATCTCACAGAGAGAGGAGGACATGAGGCACCGCCTCAGAGAGGACAGCAGGTAATCCATCCAGTGTTGACCTCAAGAAAACTCACTAGGCCCTTCCTTCATCCAAGAGGAGAGAAAATTCCAGAACCATGCTGTGCCTAATCACTGCCCTTGGCCAACGGCCGGGAGGTGGTGGGCCTTTTATGTATGGACTCGGGGTGTGGACATCCTGTGGATGGGTCAGGCCAAAGCTGGGGGGTGGAGGGGGGTAGAGGAAGGCTCCAACAGCAGGGCTGATGACCCAGGCTGACCTCCAAGGGGAGCATGAGCAGGTGGGGTGCCGGTGGCTCACGAGGCTCTGCCCAGAGAGGCTTTGGCAGGTGGGGTGGGTCCAGCCCTGCTGCCTGGCTGCCCCAGGTCAGTCCTGCGGCCAGAGCTCAGGGTAGGGCAGGCAGGCTGGGAAGCCGTGACTCAGCTATCTGATTTGTGAGCGGGAAGTCCTGGTCACATCCAGCCATCTCTGAAAGGAGGAGACTTGGGTGGCAGAAATGGTCCCTGTGCGCTGACATGTCCACAGATGGGTAGAGGTTCAAGGCCACTCAGAGGCACCTTGGAATAAAGGCCTGGAGATATTTCTGAAACCAACCACTGAGAACCTCATGGAGCCCGGGTCTGCACTGACACACGGAAGGGGTGAACCTCACTGAGGTAATGTCACAGCACGGGGTCGGGGGCAGCGGGGGTTCAGTGGTAGGGTTTCTGCCTTGTGTTTGTGGAACCCGGTGTGATTCTGGACAGTGAATCCACCCACTGCCACACCTGTCAGTCAGAGGCCTGCATGTGGCCAGGATGCTGACCAGCTGTCAGCAAAGCTTCCTGACACAGAAGAACTAGGAAGAAAGGCCTGGCAACAGACTTCTGAAAATAAGTCCGTGAGAACCCCACGGACCACGGTGGCTGGAACCACCACCAATCGTGGGCGTGTGGGACTGGGCAACAGAGTTGTGCCGAGCTGTGGTTATCACATGCCAGAGGCAACCGGACTGCAGTTCACGAGGGCAACAGCCACGACCCCACGTCCCTCCACGTCTGCTGTCACTGCCACCACTTCTGCTCACAGACACAGAGGCTGCCTCCCGCCACTGTAAACAGAGCTGCGGGTTTGTTCCCAGGGACACGATGACTTCAGATCTAGAGAACCTGGAAGCTTCGTGGCCTGCAGACCACCAGACTACGTCGCACTGCGGGGGGGCTGGTGGGAGAACGGAAACCTTCGAGGGAAGGCTGGGAGTGGGGCCGGGGTGGGGGGCAGGGAGCCGGGCCGGAGCGGTGGGGCGGATGGTATCCACACACCACGGACATGAGGACGGGCCAGCGCGGTGGGGTGGACGGTACCTGCACACTGTGGGCCGCAGACATGAAGACGGGCCGGGGTGGTGGGGCAGAGGGCATCCATGCACCACAGACATGCGGACGGGCTGCAGCAGTGGGGTGAAGGTCAAGTGGACACTCCCTACTCGCTCTAAGCATTCCCTAAAGCAGAGCCCCCTCCTGTCTGTAAGCATGTCAGACTCAGACTTACATGTCAGATCGCTGCCGGGGGCTGTGATGCCAGAAGCTTTTTACTGGGATTTCAAATCTCGGCAGGGTCACCCCTAGTGGACAGCGTCACCCCAAGTGGACAGCGTCACCCCAAGTGGATAGCGTCACCCCTAGTGGACAACATCACCAAATGGACAGCATCACCCCTAGTGGACAGCGTCACCCCAAGTGGCCAGTGTCACCCCTAGTGGCCAGTGTCACCCAGACTGGACAGCGTCACCCCTAGTGGCCAGCGTCACCCCTAGTGGCCAGTATCACCCATGGATGAGAGGGTTGCCCGTGGTGGAGGGTCCCCCGTGGTGGCCAGTGTCACCGTGGCAGAAGGTCACCTGTGGTAGACAGGGTCCCCCATGGTGGACAGAGGCCATGGACAGGGGTCAGCAGAGCTTCTGCCTGAGATGGCCCAAGAAAGAAGACCGGGAGATATGGCTCAAGAACGAGCCAACAAAAACCATACAGGATTGTGCAACAGCGAGAGAATTTTTTAAAGAGAAAAGCAAACCAGGCAGGGGGTTGGGGAGCTAAATGTGCAACAATGAATGAATGGAAATCCAAGTTCAAGGGAAACTTTCATTAAAATAGCAATTAGAAAAACCAAAAAAATGCTTACAGGAACCAAAGACCACCGCTCACCACAGAGCCAGAGGGGAGACCACCACTCACCACAGAGCTGGAGAGAGCGCAGTCCAGCACAGAGCCCGATGCACCCCAGGTACGAGGGGTCCCCCACACAGAGATGACAGTGCATTCTCAAACTTCCTGACGACTGTGAAACGATGCAGGGCCAGGCACCCGCCTACACTCTTGTGCAAGGGGTTGTGATGGGCCTTCATGGCCGTTAACAAGAACAAACAACTTGACCGACGGGTAACACCACACAACAGAGCGATGCTCGCAGCTGTCAAGGATTCCACTTCCTCAGCCGTGACGCAAGCCCACGGGCACAGCGCGCAGGGAGCGGGCAAACGTGTACTAAGTCCTCTTCAAGAGGTGAAAGGCAAGGTGTTCCCCTGAGGCCTCACGAGTGCTGAGCCAAGCCCCCCGTGCCTGAGGCGGGGCACGAACAAGGAAGACGGGGGACGCACGCGCACCCCTGGGGAGGCACCCACGAGCCAGTGCAGAAGAAATAAGTGGAACGTTCCCGATGCGCTGGCGGGGCCAGACGTCGACCCATCGCCAGACAAGGCCAGACTGGTGACATGGAGGGTCCATGAACACGGGACTCTCCAGGCGGTGGACAACCATGACCGCCACAATGGGAAGGCTCAGACACCACAGAGACCATGAAGGCAGGGGCCCGTCCTGCTGCACATCGGCCAAAACACCCCACGGGCACCCCAGCTCGAAGGCCGGGCGGGAACTCCGCACACAGACCAGCCGACAGGTGCACCTACCAGGTAGTCGTCTGGCCGGATCCCAAAGAGCTCCCGGAAGTAGCGGAAGGCGACGGGCGCGTAAGTCTTGAACCTGAAGTCCTGGAAGTGGTGGGCGGGGGTGAGGTTGCTGCCTTCGCTGCAGAGAAAGACCCAGGGGGCGAGTGAAGCCCACAGCGTTCCAACACTTCTCTCCGCCTCCCCCCACCCACACAGGCCCAGAGCCCCACGGCCTCCACCAAGTGGACATAGCTCTGAGGACCTGCATGGAACAACGGGACCCTGGCCACTCTCAAGCTGTCCCCAAATCCACTGTTCTTCCTGGACCATGCAATGCTGGACAGGATCACAAGCCCCCCACAGTGCCAGGCCGGGGTCACGGGAGGGACCCACACTGTCGGGCCAGGCTCACAGGAGGGACCCACACTGTCGGGCCAGGCTCACAGGAGGGACCCAACACTGCCAGGCCGGGCTCACGGGAGGGACCCATACTGTCGGGCCAGGCTCACAGGACCCCCACACTGCCAGGCCGGGCTCATGGGAGAGACCCAACACTGCCACGCTGGGCTCACAGGAGGGACCTACACTGTCGGGCCACGCTCACGGGACCTCACAGTGCCAGGCCAGGCTCACGGGAGGGACCCACACAGTCAGGCTACACTCACGGGACCTCACATTGCCAGGCCGGGCTCACGGGAGGGACCCTACACTGCCAGGCTGGGCTCATGGGAGAGACCCCCACACTGCCGGGCCAGGCTCACGGGAGGGACTCCCACTGTCGGGGCACGCTCACGGGACCTCACAGTGCCAGGCCGGGCTCACGGGAGAGACCCACACTGCCGGGCCAGGCTCACGGGAGGGACTCCCACTGTCGGGGCACGCTCACGGGACCTCACAGTGCCAGGCCAGGCTCACGGGAGAGACCCTACACTGACAGGATGCGCTCACGGGAGGGACCCACACTGCCAGGCCAGGCTCATGGGACAGACCCCCACACTGCTGGGCCAGGCGCACGGGAGGGACTCCCACTGTCGGGGCAAGCTCACGGGACCTCACCTGGCCAGGCCAGGCTCACGGGAGGGACCCTACACTGACAGGATGCGCTCACGGGAGGGACACCCACACTGCCAGGCCAGGCTCATGGGACAGACCCCCACACTGACAGAGAACGCCTGCATGAGAGCAAAGTGACCATGGTAAATCAAAAGGCTAAGTGGGAAATGGAGAGGGCAGTGGGCGCATGACCACAGGGAGGGACAGCTGGACATGGAGATGGCACTGCACATCACAGGGGACCACCTGTGGGCAGACCTGCAGGTAGGGGAGCAGAAATGTGTGTTCTCAGCACATTCTCAACAGTAACAACAAAGCGCGCTCTAAAGGTATTTACCATCTTTGCTCCAACATGTAAACAAACAAAGTCGACTCAAAATGAAGCAACAGCAAATAAACAAGAAAGGCCCCTGTGCCCTGCCTCCCTGCTGTGAGGTGGTGAAGGGGGCAGAAACGCCTGTGCACCTTCCCAGTTAAAGGGTAGATGATCGCCCGCTGTCTCTTCCTGCTGGTGGAATGCAGGCCTGATGGCCAGTCTGGAAAGCTCTGGGGACCAGCAGTCAGGGAACCACTAGTCAAGGAAACCATGACAAGAGGTGGGCAGGGCATCTGGGAGGCCCCGCCCACAGCAGGGCACCTGGGAGGAACTCTGGGAAGCCCCGCCCACCGCATGGCATCTGGGAGGAACTCTGGGAAGCCCCGCCCACAGCAGAGCACCTGAGTGGGACTCTGGGAAGCCCCACCCACCGCATGGCATCTGGGAGGAACTCTGGGAGGACCCGCCCACAGCAGGACATCTGGGAGAAGCGTCTGGGAGGCCTGCCCCTGGACTGCCACCCTTGGAGAAGAGAAACTGCACCACTGTCACAAGGGTCTCCAGGGTTGAGCAGCACGCTCACCTGCTCACAGCACGCTCACCGGTGGTTAATGGAGACTGAACTGGGGCAAGGTCACGCAGGGATACTGAACTGGGGCAAGGTCATGCAGGACAGGGGTCGGCGCAGGAGGCAGAGGTGGGCTCTGTGCAGGGCACAAGGAAGCATCCACGGCGTGCGGGCTCACCTGGGGAAGAAGATGCTCTCCACCACGTAGAAGTCCTGCATGAGCACGTCACGCTCCGGCTTGGAACTCAGGTTGCCCACAGTGTATCCGATGCCCAGCTGGATGGCCCCCTTCAGGGTGGAGGAGGTGGTCTGCAGAGAGCCAGCACGTCAAAACCCCTCTCCACTGCCGCCTGGCCTCAGGTTCCCCAGAAAGCGAGGACAAGCAGATCCCTGGTACCAGGTTGTAGGCGGACAGGAGACGGTTCCTAACATTCCCTGTCTAGAGGAGACCCTGGGGCTTGGGGAAGGGGCAGAGTTGTCCAACGCTATAGGAGTCTTCTGGCCAGGGGACAGAGCTACAGCACAGGGGCGGAGCCAGGCTGAAAAGTGAGACTTTGTGGGGTGAAACCTGGTCCAGGGGGAGGAGCTTGGTGACAGAGACTGGCCAAAGGGTGGCTCTTAGAAGGGTGGAGGCTCCCTGAGGGTTGGGGGTCAGTTAGGTCTGGCTGAGGGGTGTGGCTTTGCAGGTGGGGTGGAGACTGAAGGAGGGGTGTGGTTTGGGCGTGGCGGAGCCAGGCTGATAAGTTGGGTGTAGCTTGGTGGGTGGAGAGGAGCGTGGTTTATGGGTTGGATGTGGTAGAGCCAGGCTGGGGGGGTGGAACCTGGTTGATGGGTGGGGTGTCACTTGGTGGGTGGGGCAGAGCTGGGCTGAAGGGTGAGGGGGAGTGGGTCTGTGGGGTGTGGCTTGGTAGGTGGGGGTACAGCCTGGTTGATGGGGGGTGAGACTTGATGGAAAGGGTGGACTGGCCTGGGGGTGTGTGTGGCTTGTGGG